GTGCCGGGGCAGGGGAATGCGGCGTTGGCGTCGAGGCGCGCCCCCTCCCCCCGGGCCTTGCCTGGGGACGGCAGGAAGTGAAGTGAGCCGCGGGGAGGGTGGGACCCTTTGTGGGGCGGGAATGAAGGGGCGCCGGGTCGCTGGGGAGGCTGGAAGGGGAGCTGGGTGCGCCCCGAGATTTCTAGGTGTTGGGGTAACGGGGAGAGGGCACGGGAGCGCTGGATCAGGCGCTTCCTGGAGGAAGAGGTCTAGAAACAGTGTCCCAACCCCACCCAGCTCCCGCGGGCTTCGGAGTTTCTGTGTGTGAGTCTGGGCGGGTGAACTTATGGACTTGAAACCAACTCCCGCTGGCAAGTTTTCACCTGGATCGAAAGTTTGTTCGGGTGGGGCGAGGGGGCTTTGTCTTTCAGCAGGCGTTTTTGGCGCGGTCATTTGAGATGGCTTTGAGTAAGGTGAGGTGGTGGGAGGCTAATGAAGATATTGTGGGGAGATTTAGCCACAAGGGCAAAGTTCAATCCAAGAACTGCACAGTTTTCCCTCCAAACTAAAAATCGCGGGGTAACTTGGGACCCTTGGTGTTTAGTTTTGAAGTGGGGCCTTGGGTACTGGCGGCATTGAAGTGGCCATTTGGGCTTGCCTGTACAGGCCAGAGAGAGAGCGAGAGATCCCTTTGTTTGCGAGAATGGCAAAGGGAACGGGCCTGGGGTGGCTCAGAGGCCACAGTCTGGGAAGAGGAATGGACAGGCTGTTCCAAGGAAAGTGGCTGCGTTACCATGTACCTGCCGCTTCAGCCCTACGGGTCTATGAAATGGGCATGGTTATCGTAGCTGCCTCACCGGTCCTGGGGATTAAGGAACAATGTGTGCCCGGTGCTCTGTAAACCCATGCACATGTAAGCCACAAACTGGTGACAAGTGACTGTTGCTCCTTCCAGTTGAAGCATTTCCCTGAGCTCACAGCGGTCCCTGCTGACTCCTCTCTTGCCCTCAGCCCCTGCCAGCGCCGTCCAGGTGACCGTGTCAGACCCCTTCCACGTGGTGATCCTCTTCCAGCCTGTGACCCTGCCCTGCACCTACCAGCTGACCACGACCCCCACACCACCCATCGTAATCTGGAAGTACAAGTCTTTCTGCCGGGACCGAGTCGCTGACGCCTTCTCCCCAGCCAGCGTTGACAACCAGCTCAATGCCCAGCTGGCAGCTGGCAACCCAGGCTACAACCCCTACGTGGAGTGCCAGGACAGCGCGCGTACCGTCAGGGTAGTGGCCACCAAGCAGGGCAATGCTGTGACCCTGGGAGAGTACTACCAGGGCCGCAGGATCACCATCACAGGAAGTACGTGGGGCGGGGCTCGCTGGGGTGGTAGGGCTGGCGCCCTTGTGCCCAACCTGGAGTCCCGACCTGGGAGCTCTTGGGCACCAGGGTCTGAAAGGACCAAGGAAGGTAGTGATGCCTTCCATCCGTCCATCCATTCCTTTATTTAACGACAAGGAATCTATAAGTAACAACTTCTAAAGCGTCTACTGTGTGCCAGGCTCTCCCAGGTTTATGAGGATTGACTCGTGTAGACCACATATTCACTGAATACAAATAGAGTCTATTACTGACGTTTTATAGGGCAATGCCCTATAAAATGTCAATAATAGAGTCTATGTATTCAGGGCACAGACTCTATTACTGACATTTTATGGAGGCCGAGAGAGATGAAGTGACTACGCGGGTTCACACAGCTGGTAACAGCTGAGAATCTAATTCAGCCACTCCGGGTCTAGTCTCCACACTCCTAACCTTGATGCCTGCTCAGGGTGGTGAGCAGAGGGCTCACAGCGGAGGTGGCTGAGTGAGCAGGGGGAGCTGGAGGTTTCTATGGAGGAGGCCTGTGATTTGCCAGTCCCCTTTACACGCGTTTTCCCACTGAGTTCTCACCATTTTACACCCACAACAGCTGAGGTGCTGAGAAGTTAAGTTGCTCCCCTGGGCATGTGGGTCGTAAAGGTCTGGAGCTGGGGTTTGGACCCAGGCATCCCCGAGAGCCCTTGTTCTTAAACACAGTGCAGCCTCCTGTTAGGAGGTGCTTATGAGGACTGAGTAAGGGGCACTGGGGAAGTCATCCATCCATCCGTCCATCCATTTGGTACTCAGCAAGCATCTACTATGTGTCAGGCACTGCTGTAGGTGCTGAGGATAGAAGTGGTCAGGGTGGCTGAGGTCCCTGCCCTTGAAGAGATGACAATCTGATGGAGTAAGACTGGCAGTAAACAAACAGATAGAGGGTGAGAGAATTGCAGAGAGTCCTAAGTACTGCGAGAAAACGGCACCAGGCGATGCGCTTTATGGAATGACTTGAACACATCTGAACACTTCTGCGACTGTGATTTGAGGAGGGACCGAGACTGAGCCCTGCAGAACCTGAAGGCAGAGAGGAAGGCGGGGCCCGTGGGCCTAGGATGAAGGCTCGCCCCCTTAGACATGGGGCCAGGGAGGGAAGGGAGCTTCTCTCTGCAGACCCCGAGAAGCCAGGCCTTGGAGCACACTCCTTCCCTTACTCAGTTAGACCAGGGCCAAGAGGCAGGGTTCCAAGGACTGAGCCTGTCAGTCCTGTTTCAGGGAAGGGACAAGGCTGGCTTGCCCTGAATCTCCATGGTTAGCTCAGCCACAAACAGCCTGCTGTTTTCGAGGTCAGAGGGCTTCTTAGGGGTTCAACCTATACAGACCCCCTCCACTCTAATCCAGGGACTGCTGCAGCCTGGACCAGGCATGATTGCCAGGCCCCTGTCAGGACAACCCCAATACTGAGAGCATCTCCTACTGGGCACAAAACTCCAGAATGACAGGGGTCGGGGGCGGGGGGAGTTTTCATGGTCCAGAGCCCTCACAGGTCCAGCTCTTCCAGGCTGCCTTGAGCTAGGCCCTGAGTAGTAAACATTCATTGTGTGCATGTCCTCTCAGGAAAGCCAGTAGCTATGGGAGCTTCCTCCAGCTTTTGAGGATAGGGAAAAGCAGACAACCCCATGGTGTTCCTGGGGTCCTGGTTTGTTTTTTTTTTTTTTTTTGAGTTGGAGTCTCACTCGGTCGCCCAGACTGGAGTGCAGTGGCCGCTCCCGGCCACCACAGCCTCGCCTGCTGGACTCCGGCGATCCTTCCGCCTCAGCCTTCCAAGTAGCCGGAATTACAGGCATGCGCTACCATGCCCGGCTGATTTTTTGATTTATTGTAGAGATGAGGTCTTGCTGCCCAGGCGGGTCTGGAACCCGCGGC